AATAGTGATGCTTTCGTTGTTGGAGAAGACTCTTGAGAATACCATGGATAGTCAACAAAAGAAACAGATCATCAGATCATGCTGGAGGAAGTTTATTTATGTTGTGACTAAGATTCAACACTGACTTGATGGCCTACATTTTTAATTAAATCCCACAGAGTCAAATTGCTTTAGAATTACATGTAACAATAAAAATAACATTAAAACATTAAAATTATATTTCCCTTGATAACACAAAATAGAATAGATTAGAATCCAACTCAAGCAAGTTAATCAATGAATTCCCCCAATTTGCATAGGGTTGGAGCATAGTCTAGGAGCACAAACAGCCATTATTAATTGCTATTATCATGTACAAAGTGAGAGGGTGGGGAGGAGTCAGAGGATGAGACACAGAGCTTGGGTTTCTTATTTGGATCAAGAACTCAAGAAAGGGAACAGAAAGCAAAGCAAAATTCTGCAAGTCTATTCTCGAAGATAGGTCAAAAGCCAGACAAAGGGCTGAGTAGTTGGAAAAAATAGTCAGTAGTCAGCTCTTGCTTTGGATCTTAGATTTTCTCTGAGTTTATTGCCTGCTTCTCCTTTGGATTTAGTGCCTGATTCATAGTCCATAGTTCTCAATCCTTGATTTACTTTTTGACCACAAATAGGGTCCACTTTTAAAGATAAAGCAAAAGAACTTTTTCAATCCACTTCCACTAGCTACAATAAAGCGTGGTTAATTGTATGTTTAGGCCCCTGTCAAAATTTATAAACTACTTATTTGTTTTCTTGCAGCTATACCAAAACAACAAACTTTCATATCATTTCAAAAATGTAACTTACCTTTTTTTAATATTCTCAGATTTATCATTTTTAAAGGAAGCATTATTTATAGAACATTCTTTTGCAACCAACACGGAATCTATTTCAGCCAAGGTCTTCTCTACACCAATGGATTTGTTTCTTGAATTTATACCATCATTTTGAAAATCCAGTGATATGATAACAGATGGTAAATTAATAACTTTTGAATCATCTATATTGCATTCTGGCATAGAACAACCGCTAAAAGAGTTGATTTCTTCTACAGTGTCTTCATTATAAGTATGTGAAAGTTGGACATTTCCTAAAAAGTAAAAAAGTAAAAAAAAAGTGAACAATGAAACTTTCATTGTTTGGCATAATATTGCCTAATTCATTGCTGTGTTCAAGTCCTGCCTTTGCCATGAAAACCAGCTGGGTAATCTTGGGCCATTCTCTGTCAGTCCAGCTTACCTCACAACAACCTCACCTGTTGTTGTGGAGAAAATAGGAGGAGGGAGGTGTGTTGGATATGTTCGCTGCCTTGAATTATTTGTAAGGTAGGTAGGTAGATAGAAAGCTAATTACATTTCTATTAGTGAATGACAAAGGTTGAGGAGAAACTTTAACCACAGAAAAGCAATTCAGAAGTTTCCTTCCTTCCTTCCTTCCTTCCTTTCCTTTCCTTTCCTTTCCTTTCCTTCTTTCTTCTTTGAGAGGGCCTAAAGCTTATATAATTAAGAAGACCATCAAGAATTGTTAAGATGAATAGTTTAAAGTAACATCTTATTCAAAGTAGTTGCAGCTACTAGAATTGCTCTTCTATTCACTAATTCTGAAAAGCAATCCAAAAGGTTACTAATTAAATCCAGATAAAGTCATCTTCACTATAGTATGTTATCATCTTCAGACATATATCATAAAATCCAGTTCTTCAATGCAGATTTTTCAAATACGCTATCTTTTAAAATCTATCCTCTGCTCTAAATGCATGAGTCACTGATATATTTTACTACTAAAGTTAAGCATAAATTGATAGGATCTGGATCTGAATAAATGTTGACTATAATCAGAGATATTCAGGGGTATGACCAAGGATCTTCAAAACATCAACTTGTTTTGTATTTGCTGTAATGTGTAATTAAGAAATAAGTAAGAAGCTACAGAACTCATGGTTTCGACAGTTTCAGAGTAATTAATAAGTTCACCTTGTGTCTTCTCACTAATATCAATAAATCTAAATTTTATTTAGAAGATCTGGGATCACAAGGCTAAAAGAATCCTGATTGCTTTAAAATGATCTGGTATTCCTTGTTTTATATTTGGAAATTTTATCAAAGTCCAAAACATTTCCTCTTTTTCTTAGGGAAGGACATGCCCTATTAAGGGCTCATTCTGAATCAGGTTTCTAAAGCAAACCATCTTGAAAGTGATGAGAGATGTTCAAGTAACGTAATCTATATTTTCATACCTTCCAAAAGGAGTTTGATCAATAAAGCTCCAAAATTACAGTAACTGGATAATATTTCTTTCTTGTTGTACCTAAGGGGTCTTAGATGTCAACATTTTCCTATTGGAAAGCCACTCTGTTGTCCTTAAAGTGATATGAACATGTCTAGATATGAAAAATGTTAGTTTCTCAGAATGTAATAAAAATTTTACAAAAAACAAATAGCTACTTATATAAAAAATAATGTATCTCCAGAAATACTTTTTTACTTATCAAATAGTAACATGACAACTTTACATCCATACACATTCTTACTGTGATTTTTTATTTTTTATGTGTAGATCACATTTATCATCTCTTATTCTTCAAGATCACTCTTTCTCATCATAATTAGTTAAATTCTGATAGGGATAACCTATGCCTATCTCAAAGTTTGCTCCCACTATAAGGAGTCCTTGACCTATGACTTAATTGACCCAGAATTAGGTTGCAAGTTGTGGTGATTGGTAAGCAGTCACCATGAAACTGTGTCTGATTTTACAACCATTTTTGTGGCAGCTATTAAGCAAATGCCGTTTATTAAGAAAACACTGTGGTCATAACTGAGTCCATTTTTCCAATGGTTTTTTTTTGCTGGAAACTAGAAATACTGTAAATCAAAATACTGTAAATATTATAGTCATGTGATGATGGGATGCTGCAAACAGCTCTAAATGTGAGCCAGTTGCCAAGTGCCAAAAATGCAAGTATGTGACCACAGGCATATACGTGCGGTGATCAGAACTTCAAAAACAGGTAATAAGTAGGTTTCGAGGAAGTGAGTCATCGCTTTGAATGGTGGCTAAGTTACTTCTTTCTTTCCATATGAAAAACCTATTGATGAATTTGAAGGAGTTGTCCATCCTGTTTTTTTGTTTCTGTCTTGTAATTCCAGATTTTTTATATTAGTGAGAAATAGGATCTAGGCTATAAAAACATTTTTGATCCATTACCTTAATCCAGGGGTGTCAAACTGCTGGCCCATGGGCCGGACACATCACCAGGAAACCGCGCCCACCCCATTGCCGGCAATGGAGAAAAAGCTCCGATACGTCGCATGTCACGTGACGTCGCGAGTTTGACATGTCTGCCCTAATCCATATTCTTCATTATATGCCAGATTTTATACCCACTGAGGAATATTAAGTTATACAATACAAATACTCCTCAACTTACAACCATTCGTTTGGTGACCATTTAAAGTTATAATGGCACTGAAAAAAGTGACTTATGACTGGTTTTCACACTTACGACTATTGTTACATCCCATTATCACAAAATATAATGATCATGTGACATGTTGTAACCTTCTGTAACCTTCCCAGACAGTGTCTGACAAGCAAAGTCAATAGACGAAGCCAGATTTACTTAATGACTATTGCAAGAAATGTTGTAAAATGAGGCAAAATTCACTTAAAACTTTCTTGCTTAGCAACAAAAATGTTGGGCTCAATTGTGGTTATAAGTCATGGACTACCTGTATTCTGCTCTTTATCCATGATTTCCTAACACAGCTAAAAATATTGGAAATAGAGTTCAGCAAGAAAATCTAAGATATATGGTTTGTTATTGGTTTCCTTCTAGTACCAACTGTCTGAAAAACAGAGAAGAGAAAAAAGTTACCAAAAAAAATCATTTGTAGATCCATTGTAGTTGTGATACCATTGCTTGTGGCATGCTTGTATTCCTGCTCAAAATCAGCCTTGTATATTTTTGCAGCAAAAGCTTATATAAATGGCTGACAGAAAACCTACAAAGATTGAAACAGCAGTTGACCATATTTCAGCTCACAGGGGAGTATAAAGATTTATTACATCAAACTGAGGAAGCAATAAAGCAAAAAAGAAGAAAGGAAGCTGTTTTCCATAGAACATAGAATAATAGGGTTGTAAGGGACCTTGGTGGTCTTCTAGTCAACCTCCTGTTCAAGCAGGGGACCCATTTCAGACAATATTTTCTTAAAAATCTCCAGTAATGGAGCACCTACAACTTCCAGAGGCAAATTGATTTCATAGGTAACTGGCTGATTCTGCAAGTAATTGATTAATCATTCTCACAGTCAGGAAATTTCTCTTTATTCCCACATTGGATCTCTCTTTAATGATCTTCCACCTGTTACTTCTTGTCCCGTTCTCAGGAATTTTGGAGAATAAGTTGAAACCTTCTTCTCTGTGATAGCTCTTCAAATACTGGAAGACTGCTATCATATCATCCCTAGTCCTTCTCTTTGTTAGGCTAGACCAGTGGTAGGGAACCTTGGCTCTTTTATGACTTGTGGACTTCAACTCCCAGAATTGCTGAGTCAGCATGGCTGGTTCAGGAATTCTGGGTTTTGAAGTCCACAAGTCATAAAAGAGCCAAGGTTCCCTACCTCTGGGCTAGACATACTTAGTGTCAAGGATGCTACATGCCTTTGCATTTCAACATGCCTTTAAAGTAAGGGGAGAGGTGTTACTTTCAAGTGGGTTAGATGGAGAAATGAAACTTCTATGATTCCACTGAAGACCATGAGAACCTGAAACCTTTTCATGGACACCATAACAGGTGTGGATTTGAGGCAGATGGTTCCAATAACAAAATGAACTTGTTTATATGGACTACGTAAGAAGTTGGGATTTTGGCTGGAAAAATTATTGTTTAAATCTATGATCTGGTGTTGGAACCTCAGAGTTAGTTTTGTTTTGACATTACCATGCAGTGCATTTAATAACAGTAAGATTTTTGGAAATGGAATGAACCTGGAATTTTATTTGGATTCTTAAGCTGGATGTTGACATTAAACTAATTCTCTCAAGCAGCCTATCTGGGTTTTCCTCCCAGGAATGCTGGGACATAGCGAGACTTGCAATGGACAAGAAAACAGATGGAGGGGGACAACAGGGGATAGTTCCCCTCCTGTGGTAGTCAGCTTTAATCCAAATGGGAGAGGCAGACTTGTCGACCCAGATTCATCTGAAGCAGAAAGCTGAATCGATAGAGCCACCACTTACTGCTGGAGGAGGGAGGCACATGGAGGCTCCTTGTCCAGCACCAAGAACTACATGGATGAGTGGCCTCAGGAAAGCAGCATAAGCTGAATTTCATCTGATTTCATCAGAAGCTTGACCAATGAAGGCAAATAAGAGGGCAGCAGAAGCAGGAGAGCCAGGGAGAGTGGAGGCTTCCTGTGTCTATTCATAGCCCTTCCATGGAGCAATTGAGAGAGAAGTTCAGGCGATTGGAAGTTTGAGGAGCTGCCCCACTGAAGTGGTCGGTTGTAGTTCCCGCTCACCAGCTTGCTACACCATCACCACCCCACCAACAGCCAGTAGCTTCGGGCTGGTCTGGGATAAGAGGAGCTGCACAACAGAGATTGGCATCCCAGCAACTCTTAGCCTAACAAGTCTTGGGACACCACTGGCCATTGGACAGCTGAAAGGAGAGGAGCTCAGGCAGCACAACCAGGTGCTGACTTACCACCCGGAAGGTGGTGTGGAAGGATCAACAGCCTCCTCATTTTAAAGTCATGTTTGACAGCTGACCGGAGAAGTTGAGTTACTTTCTGACCCAGGTGGGGAATTACTCAGAAAGATATGGAGGTAGACTCCCTGATGATGGATCACAGGTGAATGCTATTTCTGCGAACCTGGAAGGGGATGCAGCGGAATGGTTGGTATCCTTATATGATGAGGTGGCCCCAGAGCTCCATGATGTGGATGCCTTCATGCAAGAGCTACGGAATCAGTTTGAAGATCCCACCAAGGCAAGGAAGGCAGATGCGAGAATCTGGACAATCAAGCAAGGGAAGCGAGCAATTGCTGATTACATTAGGAATTTTTGTATCCTGGTGACTCGCT